ATTCCTGCAAGGCAGAGTCACTAATGCACAGGGCAGCGCCACAGAAGGTGCCTCCACCGCCTCCTCCCTCACCACGACTCCCTTCCCCAAATGGTTCCAGGCCCAGAGCAACCCCACAGCAGGGACAGACAAAGGTGCCAGTGATACTGGGGATGGAAATGCATTAATCTTCTCAAACACGGTGAGGGGGACAGCTTTTTCAAGTCATACTTTCTGGACAGATGCACTTGTCAGTGGGGTATGGGAACAGCCTGCTAACATTTGTTTCCCAGACACCAACCACCTCCTCAGCACTTATCAACTTACCGTTACTTCTCTGTTTAAAAAGCAGCACTGAGGCAGGAGGGAAAGCGATGGGCGCATAAACGGTCACCACCAGGGCAGCATCCGGGCGCAGGAAACGCTCCAACTTGTGCTTATCAGCTAGGACAGAACAGCAACGATCAAGTTCAGGCCCACAGCAGTCCTCAGAGCTCTGGGAAACCCCATCCAGCCTGTTCTTTCCTGGCAAACGGGCTCTGCGCTTTAGGAAAACAGGTGACACACACCCTTCCTCTGCTGGCACAGAGCACCTGGGAATGAAGGTGATCCTCTGAGCTACTAGCTCACCGCGTGGAGCCTGCCACCACCCTGCCTGGCCCAGTGAGCCACCTTGCCCAAGCCCACCCACTCCCCGCTATTTAGTGCCTCCCCTGGAAGCCTCAGAGCCTAAGGGAGTCTTCAGAAGAGTCCTTCAGCCAGGTTCAGACACCACGGCTAAGACATCACAGGCTTCCTGCCCCATCTCACCAAACTCGACAGAAGGGTGCCCTCCAGCTCCTCTCCCAGCAAAGCATCCCGTTTCTTACCGGACTCTGGCAGGTACGTCACGTGGCGTGTCCACCTCATCCGGAAACATTTCATCCATTCGCTCCTGTTTGTATCTCTCCAGCATCTGTTCATCTTCCTCCACCTTCTCATCGTACTGGTCATCTCGCAAGCACTCGGAAACAGTCATGGTCTCACATTCCTCATCTGCAGGTTCTTCTTCCTCCTCACTGTTTTCCCCCTCCTGACACAGAGGACAGCACGAAGCCTGTGAGCACACGCGCTCTCTTGACAGCCTGCAGCACTGCAAACCCTGCGTGTACTCACACTGTTTGAATTATGCCCCAAGCTACCGCACAGTCCCTCATTTCGGTATCTAACAGGCCAAAGAAGCAACGTGATGCACGCAAGAGAGTTAATCCAGGCAAGTCCTGGCTCTGCGTTGTGCCCTTGCATGGCGCAAGCTAGAATGACAGGATTGTCCTAGGATATGCAATAGCGCCCTGGAGATCACCTGCAGTATTGGCTCTTGGAGGTACCTGGGAAACTGCCTCTTCCATCATATCATCATCGATGTCATCATCTTCATCGTCATCATCATCTTCCTGATGGCCCTCTTCATCATCCACAATCCAGGCAGCCTGGTACTTGGACGTGCCTTTGGGGACCTTCACCACTCTCCTGCTGGCCTTCAGAGAAGCTGTAGGATTCCCACCAATCCTTAATACAGGAACAATTCTCCTTTCCCTCAGCAACATTTACACCGGGACAGCCCAGATCAGCTCTAGACCAGAATCACTGTTTCCCAGCACAGAATGTCAGGGCCCAAAAAAGGCAGCTAAAAGGTAGCCCTGCTAACTGCCAGGCAAACCACACAGCCTGGTAGTCAGGCGATGGGACTAGGAACGCAAGCCCTGGGCTCCCAACTAGCACGCTTCTTCACAGCCACCCTCAGCCATCCTGGTGACAGAGGATTTCTAAAACCCTCTTAACAGGGACAAGGAGAAGGTACAGAAGTATTGCTGCTACTCACCTTCTGCTTCTTGCAGTTCTTCTTCAGTGGGCCACGTCTGCTCCCCTTCCATAGGATCAGGAACCACTTCTGACTGCAAAGACTCCTGCTTGTTTGGATCTGCCTTCATCAGGACCTTAACATCTTCCTCCATCTCATCGGTACCATTCACAGAGTCATCCTGAAGGGCAAGAGCAGAGTTCCAAGCTGTGAATACACCTAACTCGCGCTGGCGATCAGTCTGAAGCAAAACTCCCTTCAATATCATGTTCGTTGCGTTGTAACACAACATTCATTACAAGCCACATGCAAGGAATCTCAGCTCAGAGGCAGAACACGGCCCTACTGGCTCTCTTGATAAAACCCCATTCCCACCCTTAACCACCTACACCCAGTTGTATTTTCCTGATGAAAGTTTAGAAACATAGTGTTCCAACAGGACCGGCAAAGCCCTGACCTCCCACACACCTGCACGTCCATGTCCTGACTCCTCTTCTGTCCTTTAACCACTCGGGGGTTCAAAGAGAGGGGGTCGGGGGGGGCATCCACCTGGCTCATCTGGAAGTCTCCATGCCCCACGATATGCACCAGGCTGTTCACGTCGAGGGTCTGTCCCCGGACAAAGCCGGACACCTTCAAGGTCCCAACCAGGTCGCTCTCCTGACCGGGCACAAACTCTGCGGTACAGGCGAGCAGGTGAGCCCGCCTGTCCCGAAACGCAAGACGGCGCTGCTTCTGGGTGGCGAGGTGCCTCAGCAGCAGCGCGGACTCCTGCTCCGTGTTTAGGGGGAAGAGCTTGGCCTCGGGAAAGCGCTTCTCAGTGGCGTTGGCAAGTTTCTTCCTGGCATCTATCCGCTTCTTCGGTGGCAAGTCAGTGCCTCCTGGGACAGCAAGAGCTGCCAAGCAGCGCACAGAACAGCGTTTGGGATCAGACTGGAAATCTTCTTATGCCCCTTTTACCCAGCATTGACAAACGCTCGGCTATCAGCAACCCAAATAACTAAACAGATTCACACCACAAGGTGCAAAGGCAGCTTCACACGTTCAAAAGAACACTCAGGACAGAAAATCTGTCTTCAGAGATAAGATTCTGAGACTAAATGAGGCTGTGGAGATAAGGGCCCAGGAACTGAACTTGGCAAGAAAGCGTCTGAATCGCTTCGCTCTGCAGGCCTAGATAGCCACTTCAATACTGACACCACCACACACCCAGAGGCCTAAATCTAGAACTCCCCCTTTTATCTCCAACGCTCCCCCACCAGGGCAGTAACACAACAAGGCAGCACGAGAATGGCATTCAGCCGATCGACCTATGCTCAGAAACAGCGCGGTCAAAGACCTGTGACTGCCTATTAACATACGGAGTTTTTAATTACCACAACAGTAAATCCCCATCAAGCACTCCCTCGACCCATACCCCCTAGAAGCCCTTGACGTTTCTCACTCGCTCACCATAACTGGGGAGCCCCTGTGCGAAGAGGCAGGAGAGGCAGTGCTCCCCCGCGCTGTCCCAGCCATCTGCAGGATCCAGGACGAACAGGAGGGAGTCGGCAACCTTTGCTAGGTCTAAGACAGCGTGAAGGTCCCCTGCACGCAGAACACCTCCGTTACTGGGGCTGCCAGGGGTACGGAGCCAAGAACCACACCAACAGCAGCGTTTCCTCACCTGCCTGTGCTGTCACAAAGCGCCAGCGCTGCTTGAGTCGGGGGCAGAGGAGCGCGAAGTCACCAGCTCTCCCCTCATCCATGCGGACGACAGCCGAGTCCTGGCTCTGCAGCAAGCAGAGGCTGTCGTGGGCCGCAGCCCGGCTGTGCAGCGGCACCAGAACCACGAGGTGCGGGGGCCCCTCCCTGCCGCCCAAGCTCCGCTTCTCAGCCAGCACCTGCAGGCACAATTGCACAGCGTGAACCCCGGCCCCCATCCGGTTCCTGTCCCGCCCCTCAGATCAAGGCCGGATCCCTCCGCAGCCCAACCCGAAGCCCTTCGGTGCAGTAACGCTTCGCTCGCCCCTAACTGAACCGAGCCAGGCACCCGTTCCTCGGCCTGGCCCAGCTCCTGATCCCCCCGCAAAGACCCGAACTGGCTCGGTCCCCGCAGACACCCACCCACATCGAGACCCGCACCGGCCCCTTCCCGTTCCCTCCTCGCAAAGACCCGAACCGACCCCGCTCCCCTCGCACCACCGCAACCGGCCCGGCCCGGTTCCCCCGCGGCCCTCACCGCCTCCTTGCGCTGCCGGCGGAGCGGCAGC